TACCAAGTGCAGTACAAACATCGGCATCGATTGATAATACACTTATCGTACTATCACTGTGACATCACAACTCATGCGACAAACTTACCTTTTCTCACCTGAGGAACTCAACCACTTGTCAGAGCTATATTTTTCAACGCGACTTGATAAAACTCTAAAATGTTTCTTTTTCTATTATTTCTATGGTTGATCGCTTAACATTCAACCAACGTCCTTGTTACGTGTTATTACTCGTTGTTTCCAGATCAGTTTCTGCAGCCTCCTTTCCATTTCTTTTACAGCTCGGCAAAAACCGGAGGATTCATACTAATCGTCTGGCAACCTCCGGCGCGCGACTACTCCCAACATGTTTGGTATCGATTCAAACGGCCGTTGAATCTGGTGGGGGAGTATTGCAGGGTCACTGAATATCGAACGGATAATTGATTCTTGTCAAGGTCAAGGATAGTCAACGCGCACAAACCAATCGTACGCCATGGACTGGCCCACGCGGCAGTGGTTATTCTTTCACTTCTGTACTTCCGTAGTTGTACCTTAACTAATATATTCTTGTCATAACGTCCTTTGTGTTGTACAGTCTCCATAGCATCTATTATCCTTTGATGCGTCGATGGTTCAATCCACGTAAGGGCTGGTCGCGAGGTGTGACTTCAGCGTTAATTGGTTCGTCACCATTCTCGTTTAACTCTAGTAGGCCCCCAATCATTTCGACTATAGAACATCAAAGTTGATGTTCTTACAGTCTAAACTAATTGATTTCGCATTTCCACGAAACTGGCCGGTTAACGGTTTCATAAGGGATGCGCATTTGGGAATGAACCGTCTGTAGAAACTTACAAGTCCGTTGAAAGTTCGTTAATGTTTGATCGTGGTCGGTTCTGGGTAATCCAGAATGGCCACCACTTTGCTTCTAAAGGGTCGGATGCTTTGAGCATCAATAGTGTGTCCTAAGAAGTCTAAGGAGTTGGATCCGATTTGGCATTTCTGAATGTTTACAGTAATGCTGTGCCTCTGGAGTCGATCGAAAACAATGTCCAGATGCTTGAGATGCGATTCTCTGTCCGGACTTGCTATTAGACAGTCATCAACATACGCATGTACGAAGTTGAGACCTCGGAAGACGTCGTCTATAAACCTTTGGAAGGTTTGAGCCGCATTTCTTAAACCAAAAGGCATTCGCAAGAATTCGTAAAGACCGAAAGGAGTGATGATGGCGGTTTACAGGCAAGATCGAATTGTTACAGAAGTTACAACTTTCACTGCAGAAAATTACTCAGCTAGGTTGATATTTTATAAGATATGAATGTAAATGGATTTCATAAGAAACATGTCAATATCACACTTGGCGCACTTTATGGAGGTAGCGTTGTAACATACAACTGATGGTCGAGAATAGATACATGCGAAGTTGGGGGCTTTTAGAAGTTTCGAACTTATATCCCCCCAGAATATCGGAAGCTTTAATAACGGCGTAGGACGAAGTCACCCGTGACATATCTGTTTTCGGTGGAGTATCTGCAGGAGGCTGAAAAAGGTGTAAGAAAAAGAAAGGACGATATCAGAGCACACAATATTCATGGAGGAATAGTTAAGGTATAACCATTTAGTCCATTTGTCTGTTACTGAAGTATTTATTAGGTAAGAACGTACTAATGTGTTAAAAAAATAAGTGTGGGCAAGGTATGAGTGGGTAAGGAACTGTATAAATGAAGGTAGTTCAGAAGGAAGTATGAAATTGTGTAATTATAAAATAAAGTGCTGAAAACAGTATTCCGATACAAATGACTGTCTCTGTTTACATTAGAAGCTGTTTGAACTCTCTTTTTTGTTTTTAGATTTTATAGGGTATAGAGTGGACTTCATTTTTAGCCAATTGTCTACTCTTGAAGTCTGTCATTGGAGTTCGCGGGAAGAACGCTAACTTCTGCACCAGTGTCGACGAGGTAGCGAACTTTCGTAGTCACATCCGTGACGTATAACAGACAGCTGTGTTCGCCGGCTACGGTTGCCGTTAACGCGTGCAGGCTTGAAAGTTTCCCGAACTGTTTTTCGTGTCATTCGATTTTGAGGTCGGATAATTGCAGGGTTTCTTGCAATTTCTGGAAGACTTACCGTACTGGTTACGATGTCAGCACCAGTCGGGGTTGTCTGTCTCTCGTGGTCAAGAGACCAACTCAACTGGAGAACAAAAGATCACCTCTCATTCTCCTGTGGCTCAGTTAGAATAAATTCAGGTGCCAAAGTCTGTCCACGAAAGAATTATGATTTTGCCACATGACTCACTTAGTTGCAGATTTCAGTCCATAGTCCATGAGATTTATGTCCGTTTTGACGAGAGGAGGCCCAACAACGTTGTGGACCTCAAGATGAGGCTACACGTGAGCTTTGAACAGTGTCAGGAGCAAATCTGAGGTGATTGCGACAAGCTGTCTACTCATGAAGTGGGGAGTGGCGCATGCCTTAGCTGGATTTTCCGTGTGATCTTGAACTGGTGTCTAGTTTGTCTGTTGTTACAAGCCCGAGATCACGCTCTGGGGCGACAATCAAGAGCGGAACCCTATAAAGAAATTAAGCGCTTTGTGTCAAACGGGAGAGAATGTTCACGACATGACACCTTGACAAGTTAATTTTCAACCCGTTGTCTACTGCCCATTCCTCGGTTGTTACAAGGTCGTTTGCGGGCTCAAATGAATCCTTTTCGCCTTTTATACACCTTCACATCATTCAGATATCGCATGCTGAATTACTGACCACGGATAAAAAAGCTTGTTATAATTCTTCATTTGTTGCATCCATATCTTCCTGCATGAACCAGACCCCTGACACGCTTTCTCTGTAGTGATATTTCTTTATCTGATTCGAATGTTATGGTAGCGAAATCACACCAGGCTGCATTCAGAATACTTTGCTTCACGTTTCTCAGTGTTTATTGGCATGTAGAGGGAAAATTTCTCATACATCTATTTTATTCTCTTCTGTCCGATAGAATGTGCCGTGCCTGATACAACAACATTGTGTTTTAACGAATATGTGGAATTGATGTCATTATTGAGTCTGCTGACCGGAGGCGCTTGAACATTAGTAATTTGGAAAAGGATTACGTTATACGAGGGTAGACTTCCCTGTCGTCATGGTTTCTCACACTTATCTGATTATTTGTTACTTCCTATCAAGCATTCTAGTGCCTTGACTACACCCAAGCTGTTTGTTGGAACAGCCTTTTTCGAAGTCGTCCTCAGCATTGTGGTGATTCAGTGATTATTGGATGAAGATCGTGAATATGAGCAATTATTCATACTTAAGACATCTGAACGTCCAAATAAATCAGAGAAGCTGCTCTCTGTTCTTGTGTTGCCTGTGAGGAAGCTACATATTTTTTCTATAAGCGTTTTCCGCCTCCACTTTAGAACAACACAAATAAAATCGAGTATATTAGGTATTGTATCCATAAAGCCTCCTAATCAGGAATTCACTCACTCTTCTAAGCTACCAATGTCATCCGGACAGAATCACACCATCGGTCCCCAGATCAAAGCAATTGACTCTTTACTTAAGTAACACAATTTCATTTGTGTGATGTCAAATTTCAATATACTTCAATACTCCTCTCACTACTGTTCATCAAAGCATTTTCTCATTACAATAGGCTTTGACTTTGAACTGGAATGTCGAAAAAAGTAGGGTTGCACAGCATGGAGTCTGTATTTTTCACCTGATTCTTTGGTCTAACAACAATTTAATCATCTGATTTGTTCATACTGCCAAATATTCATTTTGTCTTTTTCCAATCTCTTATTGCTAGTTAGCTGGAGAATAGAACCTTCTGTGTGTGAGGATTGGAGGCTTTCGGCGTTGATGATGTTGATCCACAGTTTTTCTAGGTTTGACCGATAACTGCTACAGTAGGCAGTATCAGAAGGAAAGGATGTATCATATGAGCATCTCGAAATAATAAAACAGTCGAGGACATGTGATCCATCATGATTCACATTGTGTGAGTGGTATTAAACTCATTAACCGGAGTGCTAGTCACTGGAATATCTGACAAGCATCATACCGAGACTTTTTAAAGGAATGCAATCTAAGAATCTTGTTGACAGGAAATAATGACTCTAGAAATATATAGTTAAGGACTACGTCACATCTTACTTCTTCCAAAAATGAATAACTATACAGACTTGTGAAATGTTTTGGACGAAACGAGAGACCTTTTCTATCTTGCAGTGGAATGATCACTGTATGTGGTATACTGAGCAGTTAAGGTCACCCCAGTAAAGTAATTCTACCTAAAGCCCAGAACTTCATTTTGTAATGTTACAGTAACAATCAATAGGTCTCACAATGAATATCGAGCGCATTTTCCACCAGTCTGTTGTTGCATTTCAGGGTCGACTTAGTTTCCGGACCAGGAGCATATAGAATGAAGGTTCGACTATTTGGAACATCCTCTTCATTACATTAAGCTAGCCTTTAGGTGTGAAACGCAGATGGTTGGAGAACAAGTCTTTGCTGCTGATTTTCCGAGGAGTGTTGATGATCTAATAGAAGCCGGATCGATCTATTAATTATTAAAAGATATTCTTCGTTTGGGTTATTTGACCTAACCAACTGAACTATCGTCCATGTCGAACTATTATATACGTAGCTTAGAAACTTGGAAGTGATTATCACTTGTGACTTGGAAAATGTGCTGCACGTTGTACTAGGTATACTTTAAACCGGAATGAAGATTAGGAAACAAAATAATGCAAGTAACATCATCTATTATAAAATGAGTACGTTAAACAACCTATGCACCAGTCAGTTTATTACTTAAACAGAATCATACCGTCCAAACTTTTTAAGGTCTGAGTTAGCAATTGTTTATCACATTGTCTGCTCAGTAATCTTATATTGGGCATTGAAAGTGTTATGCGAACTGCTTTGTAAGGTCAGTAGTATTCCGTTTTGTCTGAATTGTCCGCGCTCTATTTCACGTAGATCATGAGCTATCACTCGTGATGGGTCTTGAGGAAAGTAAACTTGGTCAAACAAACAAAGCTAATTGTAATAGACCCAATTTGTGTTTCTTTGCGCCTGTTTCACCGGGGAGAATAATTCATCAATGCACTATGGAGTTATGGAAAAAATCTCATCGGGGTAACGTGGATTATATTTTACTCATAAGACACATTCAGAGCTTTTCAACTTTTCAGACAAGGTGATGGTGTGTACCTATCAATTGCCTCATGACTGTACGTCGGCATTTTGTCTCACTAGGCAAAATATTGTGAACTTCCGAAAATCTTGTTCTGTTTTCTCACTGAGAAAGCGGAGAGAATATACGAAAATGGCTGAGCATTTTGAGTATAATCATATACCTGCTCATTTATCTTCCATACAGGTAACTGATTTTCAGTTAATAACTACTTTTAGAACTTACACTTCAAATCGGTGTTAGACATTCACAGTGGACTGGCAGTTGTTCATTTGGCACGGGATATGATAACTCAGTTTGCATTAGTTGACTTGCGAATTAATAAGTTCCTTGGTTCTTTTGGTCGGCAAACGGTTCTCTTTAGTCCTGAATCAACTATAGGAAAAATATCACCCGATGGAACTTACTGTTTAATCAGACTCCCTTGGTCGAGAAATAGGAGAGTTTATATACTCAAGGTACGTAATCAGTTATAATTCTTAGCGTTTAGTACTTTGATTGTTGGAGGTTTGTGCTGCGGTTGTTTTCACGTTATATTCCATGGACATTTCTAGTAGCTTTTCATTTTGGTATGTGAGTATACAGCACATAAAGGCCTATAACATGATAACTGTTCCGAGTATTTGTTTTTATGCATATTTTTGACAAATATACGTGTAAATTCTTGATAAAGGACGAGGATTTACCTAAATCAATACTTTCAAGTGGAGTCACTGTCACCTTAAACTTAGGCCCCAGGGAAATGATATCGTGTTATGTTGAATTTTAAAAAATTGAAGCTTGACGGTAAATTGTCGTTATGTTATTCATACATATAGATGTATGGTCAAGGTATAAACAGCTAGCTTATAATACCACCTGTTAACTGCGAAAACTTGAGACTTGCATATACTGACGGTCATATAGTGTACTTAGGGAATATTTAAGTGCACTGTTTCCCTGTTTTCTCACAACTATTTTCTTTTAAAACACGTGAGACACTGCAGTACAGAAAATTAGTCGGCTTTGTGAATATTTTGATGAGAAAAACTGTAAAGTTCCATCGTATTATCACGCAGTTTGTGCTCTGTACTTAGATGATTATCATTATTTACTAACGACGGTATGAGTCATAGATAATAGTTTTATAGTTTTATCTGAAATGGATGAGATTAAATGATTCACTCAGACAGATGAATTACATGTACACAGAGAATAAAGAGTAATAAACACTAAGCTTAAGCGTAGTATTTAGTAAGGATGGTAGACCGGTTTTTGAAGTAAATGAGAGATGATTGAATGATCCATTACGTTGAACGTCTGTTCAACTCAGAGTGCAATACCGCCTGAAATAAAAGTGAAAATAACAGCCACATGATATTCTGAGTAAAATGTGATTATAGTCTATGAAATCATCATCTGCTTACCTAACATTACCAAAGAACATCATAAATATTTACTATGAACTATGAGATTATAAAAGTTAGTGTTGTATAATATGTAAATGCTATCTAAAGACAGCCCTTTTCGTACAATTAGTTATTTAGTACTTGTTTAAAAGACACTTTTCTCTTTCAATGCTCTATTTCATCTGTTGATTTATCCTTCCTGAGTTGTCTTATGAAAATTTAGATCGTTATACATTTTTAAATGTTAAATGTCATCCAATATCTCCCTGAGTATTTTAAGTTAATTAGCTACAATTCGTTGTAATGTGACAATAATACTATGATAATTTACTTTGTTTTTGGTGTATTTTTTCACTGTCGTTTCAGCTGTACAACTTACGAAATAGTGAACTTATTTCTGAACTTCCATTAGCTAATTCTTCGAATTACGATGAATTGCCGATAAACAGTTCCCGTGTCCCATTAGGCCTATATCAGGAACATAATAGAGAGTCAAGTATTCGACCGTCGTACGATATTTTATCAACATCCAACTCAGTAACTGCAAACCTTAGAGGGAATGTACAAAATGAGAATCAACTTCAACTAGGTCCAGCTCGTTCTTCTCAGGTGTTGTTTGCTTTTGATCCACGATTTGTAAATTCACGCATAGCAATAACTAACGTGGACTTTCCACACGGACCAAACTCCCGCAAATTGTCTTCCAACTGGGTCCCAGGAATACAGGCCACTATAAGTTTGGTAAAACTTCCAACATGGGAGTGTTTAACATCAACTAACAAACTTTGTTCTTGGTCTCCTTCAAATCGCCACGGTTCACCTCTTATAAACAATACTACTTGTAGAGAACCATCAAGACGAAGACGATCATCAGATGCTAACCATGTAGGCGGCTTACCCAGTCCGAACTCATTCAATCATGTTTTTCCACATATTATGAACATATTTTATTCAAGAGATGGTTATTTCTTATTTACAATCAGCACAGAGTCTCGTACCTGTCGATGTTCTTCAATCGGTAACATTAATCATTCTGTGAATTCTTCATTATCAGATGTATCAGGTTACTCAGATGATATTTACAATCCCTTAAGTTCAGGTCGATCAACAAACAACGGAGCTGAAATCGGTCGAACCCAGCAGAAGATCTTGGTTTCAACACACTGTGCTGAACCAAATGCACGTTACAATTCAAAAACTAATAGTACATCCCCAATGTTGGCTCCCACATTGCCTGGTTGCACCACTTTATGGCTTACTATTTTCAATTCTGATACATTAGAAAGGTTAAGAATTTTGAGATTTGATCGATCAATATGCCCAATTCACACATGTCCTACCAATTACTTACCAGTAATGAGCCGTTGTGGATCAAGGATAGCTTTAATTACACGACAAGCAGTGGGATATTATAATAGTACTAGTAATCAGAACGCCAGTAATAATTCACGTGAATACTTGTTTTCTAGCTGTAAGACGCTTCCTGTATCTTTAAGGCACTCCGTCCCATCTGTAAGTGTAGAAAGCTGTTCTAATACACAGTGGGTGAATAACAAAGGTGCTAGTCAAGAAAACAGCAAAGAAATTTCAACAAAAAGAGTAAGTCGACTATTATTGTTTCGTTACTACTGTTGTTGTTTTCACATTTTCACTAATAAGTAGATACATTTATCACCTGAGTCTCATAACCGCAGCGTCTTATGCGAAGTGTAAATAATTTGTAGTAACATAAGATCTATGTGTAAAATGATTTCTTCGTATTTCTAAAGCATAATTTTTTTTGACGTGTTTGCAATTATCTGTCTACTCTATTAGTCTATACTTTATCCTCCAAAATGTTCTATGGTGGTTGATCTTTATTAATCTCCTTAAAAATTATTTTTTTCTATCTAGTATTGCGATGGTTTGTAAAACATCTAGACTCATCTCTACACTATTTTAAATTTCTTGGATGATTCATAACGGACTTTCTACCTGCGTTATTTGTTGTATAATTAAACTAGTTTTCATGTAAAAAACGTACTGTGGTAAGTATCTTTCACACAAGTACATTTTGTTTTTCTGTGCACCCAGGTAGAAGTGATCAGCCCTAACACTAGCTCACTCACATATAGAGTTCCTGCTTGGGCCTGAGGCAATAATAATGATTAGTGACTGTAGATGTTGAATGACATAGTTCATAAGTAATGACAAGTAGGAAGTAGCACTCATACCCTGTCTTCTTGGGTTTCTATCCTTTCATTTTATTTATTTTTTCCAAACTGTATGTATGATTAAATTTATTTCATACCATTCTCATTTATCACTATTCTGTGTTCCATTGCGTAACTACATAGTTGCTTAATTTTAGCCTTACAGTCTTTTACTATTAGAATGATCAGAGTTCTAGAAACGTCTATTAAATTTTGTAAATAGTTTAAACATTTTCAGTCATCTTTTTCAACTCTATCTGAATATTTACTGTACCATACTAATATGTTCGTACACCGAATTCCAAGCAATTTAACTTCTATAAACATGTTAGACCTTAATTAAAATTTTAATTTCAGGTTGTAAGTTAGTTGAATGGGAACCGAAGTGGAGTAAAATCAGTTCGTGTTATTCGACTGATAGAATTTTCTCTCTTATTCTTCTTAAATTGATTAAACAAACTGTGTATGAAATATTCTTGGTGGTTTCTTGTAGTTGATAAGCGTATTCACAATCAATTAAATTTTATTTATGTGATTTCCAAGAATAAAGTTAAACTACATTTGTCTATTAGGCATTAATGTTATCTGCATTAGTTGTAGTATTGCGGGGAAATAATACTTTGTTGAGCTATGTTACACCCACAGGGAACAAGTCAGTAACTGCTTATTTTGTTAGTTTTTAAGTTTTAATATTCTTTCCCTCCCCATCCTTTTTTGTCTACAATGACCAAATTCAGCTGTTTTCTTCTGTCCGTGAGTCTTTCAGTGTGTTAAATCCTTAGCCTTTCTCCGATGTCTTTGTTAGCTCATTTATACACGTGTACTATTTGCTTAAACCAATCTTCTTTGATCTCTACCGGTAAATCCTGCTTGAAGGATTGTCTTTTGCAGTAATTGGGACTAGAACGGAAAGCAGTTGTGGTATCCAGGTATTAATATTTATTTTTAAGACATTGTATTTCGACTTTTTTCTACGTAACTACTTTAATATTCTCATAGAAGCCCTTCTTTTTGTGTTATTTCAGACTGAATCCAAGATGCAACAACCGTTTATATCTCCAAACTGTTTGCTTATTCAACCACGAAATCTTAATTTGAGTCATCACCTATCTACTTCATTACCATCTCCGTTGTCAAAAGTTCACTTGTCTTCCGGAAGTTCACCATTTCGACAAATGACTGGTTGTTCAAGTTTAGAGTTAAGTGTTTCTTCCTATCGTCCAATGGCTGTTTCCTTTGAATCTTCTTTTATTGGAACTCAGCGTAATTCCTCAGGTAGTTGTACTGCCGCAGTATCCACATGTACCAGTAATAGTAGTGGTGGTGTTACCACCTCTGCCGGTACTTCAGTGATAAATTCAACGGTACAAATTGATGTGCTTCTGGTTTATCAACTACCTCCACCACCAAAACTACAAGCATTAGTGAGACAACGAATTCGTCAAGTAAGGAAACACTTCAGATCTTTCTTACTCTGTTTAGTTAATTATATCCATCTGAGTTCGAACACAAATTACGCTGCATATTATAACTATATTTAGTACCCTGTCGAGTGAATATTTATCATATGAAGGGGATATATGAGAAAATTGTTATTTAGCTTTTAATCGTTTACAAGTGTACGTGAATAAACGAACTGATTATAATTCCTAATGCGAAATGCTGGTGAAAAACTGATCTACCTCAACGTCTAGACTAATGTTTGTGATTAAAATAATTGAAAGTCTTAGTCACTCTACTTATCTTGTAAGGGTGTCGTTAAATTGTGGTGAGCTGAGGTCTCATGAAATATCAGCATGTATACGGAAAGGTCATCAGTGTGGGTCACTGTAATGTAGGCGAGATATCCGTCCACCAATGAAGGGGTCAGTATACTGCACAGTTTTCCGCTATGTTTTAATTTATGTCTGAAACATGGCCTTTAAAAGTAAAGGGCATTCATGAGTTACTAGTATTTCATCAGTATTGTCTTTGAGGCATTACGCGCGTATGCTAGGAGAACCCAATTAGGAATGTTGTAGTTAAATTCAGGGTATTTGGCAAAGATACCAAACCAGTGCCTACCTTGGCTTGGAGTATTGGAGTAAGAGTAGGTAAGAGAAAGCTTAGGTCGACCGAACCAACACCCTTCATCATATTGTGAAGGCCATGTTGTAGGTGCGGAATTCCTCATTGAGGTCCTCGTAATAAATGTGACTAATGTTTGAAGACGAGTTGAGGTGCCTAGAATCAAAGTAACATTTGTAAATAAATCCTCCAATTACAACCCATTGGGGATATCCAACTTCAAAATCAATGCGTAAAAATTATATATAAGGTATAGATAAATGATAATTAAAGTTTCATGATAAATTGAGATCAGTCAATTGAGTGTTTCGTTGTTGTTGACATATTGAATATAAATTTATGAATAGAATGGAGTAATGCGAAGTTATCAGTCATGATATCTTTTATAGTAGTAGTTATAGATGATAATCATTGCTATCTCTTTACTAAACATAGATTCATATGTTTAACTTTAAATTATACTTTTTGCAGCAGTCAGTAATACTATTTAAATGCTGAAACTGAATTAGTTGTGTAGAGGTTCAAAATTGCACTGTTTAATAGAGTCAAAAAGCACTAGGGATTTGCTTAGACAATAAGATCCCTGGCGTCAATACATCTGTTGTCAATTGTTAACAGTTATAGTTTACTGACATTGATTTTACATTCCACTTTTCATTTCAATTTTTCGGTCTAATGTCTGATACTGCTCGTGGGGCAATAGCTTAGCGTTTTTTTAAGGCACCATTTCCTCAACTCGTTAGAAGCAAGTTTTAGCCTGGCTTCACATGCCTCAATATAAGCAGTCGGATAGTTACACTAACTTCGTATACACAAACATTTACATGTTATGTAAGGGGTGACATAAAATGTTCACCAAATCCCAATGAATTTTCTATCTAATGAATTAGTTGATGAATATCACTTTTCTGTCAGCTTATTTGACTTTTGTATAGTCGAGAGTTTCATTGCTTTCAGATTTAATCATGGTCTATTGGTGGGCATGTGAATATAGTATTTCTTTTATTTTATTTTTTCTAGCTCTGCAAAGATGAATACCTTGAACAATTAGATCTTCCACGTAGAATTATTAGTTATTTACAATTCGAACCATCGTACAATTGTGCTGGATCATGTATTTCTCGATCGAATAGTTCTACGAGAACAGTACGAAGTGATAGTTTTGATCTGTGATACAGATTCATTCGGATTTATTTATATTTATGTATCTAGTTTATTTCTTATTATTTTGTTCAGTATTTTTTTATTTATAATTAACATTTAATCCTTGATTGTCATCTTTAATTTGCTGAAATTTTTACAGCTTTTTATCGTTTAATTGTTGAAATTCTCATTTTATGTATCTTGTGAACGATGTTTTGATATTGGGAAATTGATAATTTAGATCTTGTAATCTGATTGGTGAAATTTAGTAGATTCCAGCATTGATTTTCGTAATTTGTCTCATCGGATTCTTTAATATTCGTATTTATCCTTCACATTTGTCAATGCTAAGGTACACGATTTTCGTAAGATTGACTTTTTCCATCAGTAGATGGGTGGTACTCTGAACTTATTGAGGGTGCACCAAGAGAGTAAAAATTGTATTTCCCACATGTCAATGAGGGAAAACATTTTCAATATTTTATACTAGGCTCTACCAAAACAATAAACTAAAGGTTTTCTTAAAGAATTTATAATATAACAGTTTGACATTATATAATTATTGGTTCTTTCTTATATATATATTCACTTGTATGTATGCAACATAATGATGCTGTGCTACACCTTGTCATATAATTCTTCAATGTGATTTTGTCACATTTTCGTGCTTTTTCTTGTTGATTTAAATAAAAGTTTATGTTATACTGCGATAGGTTTCAAGAACTTCAGCAAACCATTCTGATGTATATCTATCTGCTTACATATACATATATACATGTCAGATTTACTTATTTAATTAATCTCTTTTAATTGGGTAAATATTATTATTCCTCTTTTCTTTCTAATCATTTCATACTAGGGATTATTTCTCTTTATATCAAATATTACTCTAGGTTGATTGGTACCTTATTTACTAAACAGAACTAATTTCTCATCATAGTAACAATTAACTATTGACTAAAATGATTGTAAAATAAATTAAATAATATTTTAATATTGTACAAACTTGTAACTGATATGATGTTCATCTTTCTTGATTCTTTTTTGTCTCTCTCTGTCTCTTTTTGATGAAGTTTTGTTCTCTGAGCTACAAATCTTCTCCATCATCTTTCTGTCTCTATTTAGCTGTACTAATTTGTAACTTTTTCATTTGTCGATGGTTAGAGACTTTGAATGACATGACTCAAAATCGTTTGCAATGGCGTAGATGAATCCATTCTTTGTGTTCTCCCAAAATCTAATCTTCTGAATTCTTTATGCCCCTATCTTTTTCTCTTTCCAAATTTATTTCACTGCATTATACTCCTTGAATAACATCTTCAAACCTTAATCTTCCTGATTAATGCTTATACTCTCACTACTACCACTATGAGATTTGAATTGACAACTGTATCTCTATGTTCATCTGATATGACAACTCGAACTGATGTACGTACGTACGAAGTTCTACGTTGTGACTGACTGAACTTTTTTATCATTTGATGATGATTCCTTTTTTTCATGCAAAAATAAAAAAAAGAAATGAATACACTTGTCATGTAAATGTACAGATTACATAAAAATGTAAAATTACTGATCTCTTTTCATCTATTTTTTTATTATTTCATATTTATGAACCTTGACATTAATTTTTTATTATTATTACGTAATCTTTATTCTTTCTATACACTATAATAGGTTGATATATATCTATCCATTAAATATAATTAAATTATGTAAAGTATGAAAAACAAGTTTTCTAATTTGTTATACCTTTTATTATCATCAAATTGAATTAATTCATGTACAACATTCAGCTTTTGATAGGTTACAGTTTAACTTGGTTAAAGATAGATTGTGTACTGTGGGTGTGAGTATGTGGAGCAATATGTCTGTAAGAGAATCTAGTAGAGAGAACAGTCAAAGAGAAACGTGAGCTAGTGACTCAATAAGTACATAAGATTCATTTTTATGTTTAATAGTGAAAGAGGTCGCCCCCAAATGCCATGGTACGGCTGAGAGTGGGGAGAGTCCACTCTCCCTCTCGAAATGCTCTCATATGGCCACGCGTATCTAGCCTCTGTCAGGGAAGTCCTACTCACTGCCTTCTCGCACAACGGGTGTTGTTTACGAAATTGAGAGGACAAAAAGCGAATATCCGATGCTTTAACCGGGTTGGTGGACCCGGAGAGTTAACCTAGGGCAGTTGGAAAACCCTGATTCCAAACCAATGGTGCACATAGGCTGACTCCAGCTTCCTGAGGGAACAAATGGCGTATGAACCAATTGTTGGTCACCGGCTACCATGTGACTGCATTTCCTCACGATGCTCCACTGCCTTGTGGATCAGATCTTTAGGTCAAAGGCTCCGGGTGTGGCCCCCCAAGAAAACCTGCTTCAGTTCGGGCACCTTGGCAGTTTCACATCCCTCACACAAATCAAATGAGATTTGTGTGGCGCATATATATCTGGTGCCTGTTTGTACCAATATTTATGTGTTTAGATAAAAAATAGCCACTTATAAATCCAAATTATTGAAGCAAAACACTCTGCCTGAACGAAAGTTGAAAGATAAAGTAGCTTGCCAGTATATCATGGGTAATCTTATATTATGAAGCTGTATAATTACAAGCAAAATCTTTTACAGCAAATAAGTATGATTAAAATTTATTTAAAACGCCGACGTTGATCATGTAAGTCATCCATGAAGCTATAAAATTAAAGTTTAATTATTAGGTCTACTTATTGTCTAAGAGATTTGATGTCATGTCATTATTAATTTGTTCTATAAATGTTGATTTTGAGCTGTGTAATTAAATGTCAAATTTTGTACCAATCTTGATTAACAATATACAAGCAACCGGAAAACAAGACAATGTTATCTTTTTATCGAGGTTGGATAGGGTCTGTCAATCACATCCTGAACAAGCATTTTCAGATTCAATAACCTGGTAGATCACGAGTTTTTATTTAAAGTAGAAAGTGCTATATTGAATCCTCAGTGCACTGGGATGCAGGTGGATGCAGTTAACGAATCTCAAATAGGATGAAACGCGTGCCTTGTATTCCATTGTTAGCCACTGATTTCAATAAAAATCTCTTGACTAAATGAAAATATCAAGATAATCCGCATATAATGTACATATACTTATAGAGACTGATCATTTGCGGTACATAAAACCAACAACGGAGAAAAGAACTCTTTGCAAAGTAATCATTTTTCTAGGACCTAGATGCATAACTTAGTTAAGTTACTCAACGTTAATAACACTCAGTCCTGAGAAGTGAATATTGAAATTGTTTTTCAATATATCAGTGATTATGAAGTTAAAAATATATTTACATTCATATTAGAAGCAAAGCAGGTTACACAAGAACTCTAATAGTTACTGTTAACTAACACTATAAACGAAGAAATAGCTTCCATTAATTTGTAACCGAATCCTATCCCCGAAAAAATATACACTAACTACTAGTTATTTATCATTGTTGAAAGCGTGAGTCAATTGAAGCTAGACCATCATGGAAAACCTGGAAACACTGGACGGCCGTTTCGTCCTATTATGGGACTCCTCAGCAGTGCGTATCCACGAACCTGCTCTCGCGAGCGAGATTCGAACCCAGGACCTACCAGTCGTGGATGCGCACTGCTGAGGAGTCCCATAATAAGACGAAACGGCCGTCCAGTGTTTCCAGGTTTTCCATGATGGTCTAGCTTTAATTGACTCACGCTTTCAACAATGATAAATACTAAATCTCCACAAAACCCCTTCTATACTAGTTATTTGCAAATTGTTTTAAGTACTAACATAGGTACTTTTCAAGGTGTAATAATTGATCAGATTAGCTTTATCATCATAAAATAATCTTTGGATTATGATAGGTGAAGCGTAGTTTCCATAAGATTGTATTATGTATAGTGTTCTTCATTAACTGTATCTTGAATATTAAGTAAGGAGGTCGTTTGTCACTAGGAAATATACAAATAGTATTGTGTGATTATTGAGGATCATCGACAGCTATGCATAATGGAATGGGGATCATAAAAATGGGCTATCCTGAAAGTACAAACAGGGAGATTTGACAAGTAAGGTGAAAAATCTATATTAGTTTGTTAAAGTCTGACTTAATGACCCAAATGTAATAAACTTGTAAGTTAGACGTGGGTTTTTCAAGATTCAGTTCTTTAAGGAATTGAAAACAAATATTACTGAGTTATCTTTAATCCATCTTGAAACAGTTACTTATGATTCAGTTGTTTCTAATAGATCACAGACAAAATCACTCTGTACTTTAAAGTTCTTCTTCAAACTAACCAAAAATCCTTGAATGTATTAGTAGAATTCTTTCTATAAACTGCAGATGAAATATTAGAGTGACATGTTAAGTTTTCGGTATGGAAGATTAAAAATTCATTATTGTTTCATTCTTTCGTACTTCACAGTGATTTGTTCAGCTATATTAATTAAATCTATAGCTTAAAAAGTGCCAGAAGAAAGGGAATGGAAAGTAAAATTCGATACTGTTCGAAAGATATTTTCTTTCACATCTGATTTAGAAATAAAGAAATCAATAATGAAAACTAAAATTGAACAGTGATGAATGCAAACGGTACTAAGGAAGGAAGAAAACGAACAGAAGTTGTTATGATATCAATTTTGTAACTTCATCTGTACAGTCGATGTCAACATAATGATCTATCTGGAAGCCAAATGGACTTGACTATACTCTCTAAGAGATATCTTCCATGAATTGTTATACTTTTGTGACGGTTTTTCTGAAGTGTTTCGTTAATAGATCAAAAGCATGTCTTCATCAAAAAGCAGAGAATCCTTGATGACTAAGTAGTTTTTTGAGTTCTGACTAACATTTTTAAAGTGCTAACTTACTTACGCCTGTTACCTCTCGTGGACGACCATAGGCCGCTCACCAAAATCCTCCATCTAACTCTGTCCTAAGCAATCCTTTCCAGTTGTTATTCATTCTTTTCATATCTGCTTCTATTTCCCGACGTAATGTATTCTTTGGCCTTCCTCTTTTCCACTTCCCTT